AACTTTTATTTTATTTTTTCCATAATTTTATTGAGAAACAAATAGCAATGAGACAGTTTCAAACCAAATTGGTAGAACAGTTTCAATAATTAACACATTGCATACATTCTTCCTAGTGGTTAATTGCTGTACAAGATGCTTTCATTATAGTTATCATTTCTTTTATTTTACTTCTGCGATTATTTCTGATCTGATTTTCTCTATACTTTTCTTTACTTCAGATGGCATTATTTCAGAGATTTCAGGTGTGTGACTTCTAATTTCTTCTATGTTAGTGTCTCTTGCATTTGTTCTGAGTGGACATGGGACCACTTGAGAGTGCATTTTATTCCTCTTCTTTGTCATTTTGTATAGCACTGTCCTCTGATTTTTGATGTAGAGTGTTGGTTAAGTAATTACCTTAGCACCTACCAGTATTATTCACAGAAGTGATTATGTGGTTAATGCAGTTATAGTTTTATATTTATAGTACTACATTTAACAACACTAATGATGGGTAGTGTGATTTAGCAGTTGACAAACTTTTGTAACTAATGGGTTTGCATTTTAAACAATTAGAAAAGCATTATGACTGTATAGCTAAGCAGATAGTAAATTGGGAATTTGTATTTAAATTAATTCCCCTAAGTTCTGTCTGAGCACATCCCTCGATGTACCTGGAGTCTTCCAGGCAGCGTATCACCCTGGTTACCTGTTGCTCCCTCTCTTGATCGAGAGAGAGAGAGAGAGAGAGAGAGAGAGAGAGAGAGAGAGAGGATGCTCTCATAGATCTTGCTCTAGCAGTGTGTCTCAGCTTATCAGGTCTGGATTTACCAAGTTTGAACTCTTCCAGCTGGGCCTGGCTTGGGTCTGGCTTCTGTGCTCCACTTCTTCCTGCTGCAGCCCATGGGAGTAAACCTGCTGTGCCTCATTGGCAAAATGCTCTGCTCCTGAATTAGCTGACTGGGTCTCGCCCCTCGCATCTCTGCAAGGGGTTTTGCCACGGGGTTCCACACCAAGCCTATCCACTGGAGAAGGTTCTAGCGGGCTGGTGGATGGTTCCACACACATGTTGGGCTTGTCCGCTGGCTGCAGGGAGGTTCTGAAGGTAGTAACCTTAACAGCAAAATTATATCAGGTTTTATAGTATTTGAGTGTGTTTCCACATTGAGTGACGTGGTTTTTCATATGTAATTTCTAGGAAAGCTAAGTGAAACAGTTTAAATGGTGGTATAAGTACACATAAATTTCTCAGAGATATAAACTATTAGTCTGTATTTCAGACCCTAGAGGAAGGCTGAGTAAGGCATGCATTTTATTTTCCTTAGCTAACTGGTTTAAAAAAATGTATGTCTTAAATGTGGCCACAAGGTGGCAGTGACTACACATAATTATTTCTGGTAACCAACTGCTGTGTGCTTTAAGACTTGTAGACTTTGGTGGATGGTACAGTATTAAGGGATACCCGCCCCCCTCCTTCAAGAATTCATTCTTGGGGCCAGTGAGATTGCTGCAGCAGTCTAAAGTGGCTGCTTAGGCAAGAGCAGGAGCAGGAGCAGGGGATAGCTGTTTAATCCCCGTAGCACGTGCCAAACCTGCCGTCAGGGTGGGCTGAGCCTCCCCCCTCCCCCAAGTAATTTTCTTTTTGCCTAAGATAATACTCAATTTCCTTACTACATTCTTTTACTCAATTTTCTCTTCTAATGATCCTGAGATTTTAATTATGCTAGTTAGCTAAAACTGAACTACTTTGGGACTAGGTTGGAACCTCAGTAAACAGCACAAGATAGCAAACCAGGTCTTTATAGCTCTAAAATTTCGTCTGAGGTCATCTTTAAGTCCTTTTAATATGCCAAATTTATTTGGGCCCTATGGTACCTGTATTGTGGTAGGAATCCAGTGCTCGCTTGGCTTTCTTTTGCTTGTCTATTTTATTCTTTGACTATTCCTTCTCCACTGAATGTTGCATGATGTTCTGCTCAGGGTCTTCCCTCATGCAAGGTGGGGGAGATCTGAAAATAATCTTTAATAATGGCAGAGTCGAAAATCAGTACACAGAGAGCCCTATTCAGGAAGAGAGATGACGAAATGTGTGTGTCCCTCAATGTGAAGTGAAGTCTATAAAAGTCCTGGGAATTAAAAAGGCTGTTAAAATTGGAAGGGCTGGGGATGTAGCTCAGTGGTAGATGACTTGCTTGGCAAGGGAGGGGCCCAAGAGAAGTTCAAAATGATGTATCAAACAGCTTAAGAATTTGCTCTTGATTATAAAGAAAATGAGAAAATGAGTGGGAAAATAGGTTGCTCTGGACATTTCTGCGGCAGCTTTCTGTGTGAGATATAAGATGGCTGATGTGATGGGGTAGAGTGATTGATTCCCTTGGGCTCTGTAACTCCGTTTTCTCTCCTACACTTTCAACATAGAAAGGGAACTTTTGTGGCGTGACTCTTGCAAGTTATGAAACTGACTTGCCGTTGGAGGGTTAGTTTCACTTCTAAAATGGTTACCTCCCGTATCATCCCTGGCAGATGGCCTACTGCTTTCTGCAGTGTGAAGTGTAATGAGAGAGAAGTTATTACATAGTAAGAGGTTATGTTACCGTTAGTTCTAATCATGAAATCGCTTTGCTACTTCAGCTGAAACCTGTTCAAGTTCTTTCAGAAACAACACAGAGCGATTATTCTTGCCTTGTTCTGCTTGTCAGTGACTTGAACAATTGAATGTATCTTAATATACGGTCATTTTAAATTTGGGATTAGCATAAAATATAACCTGTTCATAAACCTGGAGGACCCACGCCAGATTATGTACACTTATTGTGGTGGTATTGGTGAGGAGCCAGTATATTCTCTGATCCATCTAATTATTGAATTTCTGACAGGTACCAAGAATTCTTGGGTTCTGATAATAAAACAGGAAGTTAAAATAAATTTAAATTCAGCTGGGTGTAGTGGTACACACCTGTAGTCCCAGCAGTAGAGAGGCTGAGGCAGGAGGGTCCCTGCAAGTTTGAATCCAGTCTGGGCTACAAAGTGAATTTAAGGCCACTCTGAATTTGCATAGTGAGGCCCTATCTTAAAAAAGACAACAACAAAAACACTGAAATAGATAAGTAAATAAATTAAAATTTTACCTGTTCTAGTGGTCATTCAGGAACATATTGTTTAATTTTCACATATTTGTGTATTTTCCAACATTCTTTACTGATTTCTAGTTTTGTGCTATTATGATGGAAAAGACGTACAATCTCTTATATGTAAGACCTGTTTCCTGACCTAACATATTTTCTAATCCAGTGAATTTTCTGTAGGTAATTGCCTATTTTGTTGCTGTTCGATGTGATGTTTTGTATATATGTGTTAGGTCCATTTTCTCCAATATGTAGTTTTAGTTCAATGCCGCTGTATTGATTTTGTCTCTAGATGATTTCTTCATTGTTGAAAATGGGGTATTGCATTCTCTTACTATTACCATACTGCAGGCTCTCTCTTCAGGTCATTTTATAAATAAATAAGTAAATAAACATCAGATCAGTAGGCATGATGCCATATTTTATGTGTACATAAATATGCATGCATTTATCCCAGTGTCTGATGTATATATATTTGCAGCTTTAAGTCTCCTGTAAAGTCTAGGACAGTGACAACAAACCTTTTAGATCGTTTAGTGACACAAACAGCCTGCTGTGATGTGCGGGCTGTAGGTTCACCTCCACAGGTCTAGGCTCTCTGACCCCCTCCCACTTCTGTCAGGTTCTTAATTGGTTTGGGCTGCTGTCTGTGTTCTGAGGTCAAATAAAGGTTCTTCTCAGTGTGCTGAGGTACCTGGCTGGACTCACACACCAGTCAAGTGGGGCTGCTGGCTGGGCTGTTACCCTGCTGGATTGATCATAGTTGCAGGATATGTTCTCCAGATGGATAGCACTGCTGCTTGGAATCAAATTAGGCAGTATCACAGGCTGATTTCTGAGGCTGGAAACAATGGTTGGGATTGCCTGTGGGGCTTTCAGAGGTGCCAGGGCCAAAGGTATCCTACACAGATATGCACAGTCACAGACTTGGCTCCTCTGGTCCGAAGCAGGGTGACATCACTTCTCAGCCACTATGGTTAGGGGAGCAGGTTTTCTCCAGTGCACATATTCCTGGACACAGACTTCACTCTGAACCTGGAGAGGTCTGTGTGGAGCACCATGTCTACGTGAGGTCAGTTGCTCAATTGTGCAGGTTTATGGAGGCTAGATGTACCCATTCAGTGATATTTGTGGAAGTGGGGTTGTTTTGGAGCCCCAGAAAGACTTATGTAGGTTTCTGAATTTGGGGGTGTTTTTAGGCAGGTCCGGATGCTCCTGTCCACACATGTGCATGATGTATGCTTGCTTATCTGTCAGTCTGAGGAAGCCTTCAGTGGAACTCCAGGCTGGGTGGGAAGCTGGCTGGGCATTTAAGCCCAGCTGACTCATTGATTATACTTCCTATAAAACAATGCTGTTGAGAAGCCTTTCAGGTTCAAAGCCTCCATTGGCTAGAAGGTGAAGCCACCAAGATCCACCCTTTGCTTTCTCAGTGACCCAAGTGGGTGAAACCATGCCCATTGTCCTGGTGTTCCTCAAAGGGGAGTCATCAGGGAGCCACTTGAGAAGTATTTCAGAGTGTTGGAATATTCCAGCTCTCTTTTTATTCACTAAAAACCGGGTGATCCTGGGGAGCTCCATGTGGTACTGTGCTGGCTCTGAAGAGGGTCATCATGGTAAAGTGAAACCATCTCTCTTACCTCACTTTACTGGAGCTGTTTAGTTCTGTGGGCCTAGCAGTGCTGTGTCCTCACCCTGAGATATTCACCAGAGTGTTCTTGTCCCTGGTGAGCTGCTGACTGGATTCTGTGCAGGCTCTGGAACTGGGAAGCTTCTATTCTGCCTCCCTGCTAATGTCACTCATCTTACTTTGTTCTTCAAAGATAATGTATAAATTTCTCAGGAACCTTTATTCATCTCCTCTAAGTTAATATGTTTTGCTTTCCCAATCAGTTGATGCTAAATACAAGAAAAAGAAAATGGAAACAAAGACAGTTAAAGATACAAGTCAGAATGAAAAGATTCCTGGTGTTTCTGCAGCCAGCAGACACAATGCCATCAAACAACCAGCTGCATGCAAAGCCACCACCAAGCAACCAACTACATCCAAAGTCACCACCAAGAAACCAGCTGCATCCAAAGTCACCACTAAGCAACGAATTACATCCAAAATCACTCCTCAGAGTGAGGTAGGCAGCAGCCACTGAAGTGGCCTTAATCCTTATCATGGTCCTCTCCGGTAGCAATCTGTCCATCTCTATCTTATGAGCTTCTGTTGGTATCACACTGCATGCATGTAAGGAAAGGTTATAATGGGAAAGGTGTGTTTGAGTGACAGAAAGAGATGTTGGCTCACTGGATAGGTTTAAATGTTCACTGAGTTTTTAATCTCTTTGGTCTGAATATACTAGCACATAGAGGTTGATTTTATCAAAAGAAAGCTCTGAGGAAGTAGCTTGCTGAAAGTAAGTCTTAAGTGCTTTCAAGATTAATAGTTGTGAAGAAGTAAAAGAAGAAGTAGAATTTCTATTCAATGCATTTGCAGCAAAGGCCGCAGCCCATCCCACCGGAAACCAGGGACTGAGAGTGCTTTTGGGTTGTGATGATTTGGGTGGAGAGAAGAAGCTATGCATACGCCAGCATCCACCAAGTCTTTTAGTAACTCTCTGTCATCAGGATAAAATTCATGGCACCTGCAAACAAATCTCACTAGATTTGTTTTGTCTTTCCAGTTCCTTCCATGGTTGGCTGGTTCCAAGATAGAAACAAGATGGCAGGAGGCCTGACAGGAAATAGTGCTCACCACAGCGGCATAAAGTTGAGCAGGGAAGAATCTGGGACAAGAATAGACCCTGCCAGGCCCCACCCCCAGCACATGGACCTTCTAACAGTACATTTGGCTATGAACTTAGCAATGGATAATTCCATTGATGAATAGCACCCCCTGATCCAGGCTCTTTCCACACATAAGAACCTTGGGGGACATTTTTGACCTAAACCATAACTCTGAGGTAAAACAGTTTTAGCTCTGAAAGAAAAGCTTAGAGAACATCTCAGTCTATGAGAATGCTCACCCTAATCCTGAGGGAACAGCTGGCAATGTCTCAGGGTCCCACCACGGAGTTCATTATGTTGCTTCAGTGAGTCTGTTCCAACCCTAGGGTGTCCCTTTCCATTGGCTGTCCTGGCTATGGATCGGGGAGAAGGCCCCACTTCCCCATCAGTAGCTGAGCCTCTGTGCATCATCCTGGCCTCCCCGAGGGATGGGCTTGAGCCTGGAATGATGGGCACAGGAGGCAATAGGATCTCTAGTAAGATATACCTGCTACCTTCTCCTAAAACTGATAAGAGCTTTTAGAACTAAAGTTGTTAGTTTCGAAGCAGGAAGTTTCTCTTATACTTCTTTCTGGGGCAGCTTCCTATACATTTGATGCTTGGTTGATATGGCATTGCTTAATCAGCTTGGCAGAGACTGAGTGTTGACTTTCTTTTACAGAAAATAGAACAAAAGGATCCTATCGCACTTGACCCAAATGGCAACAGAAGGAGGAAGAAAGTATCAGTGCCTGCAAAGCAGAAGACAACAAAATGTAAAGAAGTGAATAAGCGTGGAAGTACATCCTCCCAGGTGCCAAAAAGGGGAAAAAAAAATCTATAGCTGAAATCTGGAGATCAGTGGGGCATTAAGGTAGGAACTGTATGGAGAAAAGGCTAGCTTTCCACGGGGACAGCATTTTGTGGGTTTTTTTTTTTTTTTTATTTTTTTGTCAGAAAGCTGACTAGGTTTCACTGAATAGGGTCTCCTGTAGAAGACCCTGATATTTAGTATACTTGAATCTCACAGAATTGAGGAACCTCCCTTTCAGAAAATACTTATCTTAGATACACAATTAAGAAGTCATTGGGAAGCTGAGGCAGGAGGATTGCAAGTTGGACTCTAGACTGGGCTTTTCTTCTCCAGGGGTATTTTTATTTTACAGAGAAGGGTTCAAGCTGGGCTTTCTGTCTTTCCACAGTGGCTGATCTTTCCCTCCTCCACACCTGTCCTTAATGTTGCTCATGACCTTCCAGTGACATCCAGGAGGTGCCTCCAAGTGGGTGCGTGCAGAGTCTCCACAGCCTGGAGGTTCCCACTAATTCCATAGTCTAATGCTATTCCCAGCTCAGCCTTAGACATGCAATAAAAATACGTGCTAAGTTCTGTTTTATGGAGTATATAATGTCATCTATCTGCCTCAGGTTAGTGATGCTCCCATCTGCTGTTTTAGCATGTGTGTGGTTCATTACTCTTAATACTATAGTCTCAACATGCCTGTATTTTCCTACAAATGGCCCGATTCTATCCTTCTTTTAATTAGAGCAGTACTCCGCTGTGTATAAATACATTTTTTTTATCCCTTCATACCTGATGGTCACGTAGGCTGCTTCCAAGATTTAGCTCTTCTTGGTTGTGCTGCTATAAACATAGCTATGCAACTGTCACTGTGATAGGTTGTCTTCAGCTCATTTGGGAAGATGGCAACAAGGGAATAGTTGTGTTAAACAGAATTTGCTTAGTTTTTATTTTTTTTTTATGTTCAAACCATTGATTATAGAACTATCTTAATACATTAGAATTCTGTTATGGGTAAAACAGTAAGAAACAATAGGAAGACTTTTATTCTTACATCCCTTAAACTC